AAATACCAGCACCTGGCTTTGCTCTACCCAGTGCCACGGGGAGGGATGGGAACAGCTTTTCTTCTCCTGTTTAAGGACAGAGATGGGAATTCCTGCATCTCTGAGCTGCCTCGCTGCCCTGGTGCACCTCTGTGTGTCCTGGTGGGGGTCGCCCTGTGGGTGGCACCCACTGTGATTGTGGGCATCGCTGCTGAGCCAGCCTGTGGCCTGCCCTGCAAGGGGGGGGGGGGCTGCCCCTGTACTCCCAGCCCTGCCTGTCCCTGCTGTGGGGTCAGGGCATGAGGGAGGTGGGCGACAACTGCAGGACATTCCTCCGCTCGGAAAACTTGATCCGCATTAATTGTGCTGAAAGGAGCCCTTCTGATAACGAGTACGGAATGGAAGCGTAGATAATACTCATCTCTGAGTGCCATTAATCTTTAAAACTGGAACAATAAGTGAAAACACTGCAGGGCATATGAAGCAAGGTGTGATTCACATCTGCTCCTCCGCGGCCGCCGCCTGATTTATTGGCGCGGGGCGACTTTTCCTGCGCGGTTTCAACAGAACCTCGTTACATAACACTGCACGCTGTTTGCTCACCTCCATCAATCACAGCTTCTCTTCTGACCCCCCCTCTCCCCACCCGATGCGGGAGCACCCAGGAGTCCCTGAGCCCAGCAGGGAGCTCAGCCTTCCCCGGTGCATCTCACACCGCTGAAGCCTTCTCTCAATGACAGGATGAGTTTCCTGTGCTCCCCGCATCCCCTGCCCCCGGTCATGCCACATCCATCTTCCCGTTTGATGCCTTTCATTCTCATGCAGCTCTCTCTGGGATTCGCTTTCTTTTATTGAAATGGTGGGTTTGCTGCAGTGACCTTTCTGCTGGCTCCGAGGGGAGGTGGGCAGCAGCAGTCCCAGGAAGGCGCTGACCTGTGGCTTTGAACGAGTTCAAAGCATTGCCTCCCTCTGCCTTTTGGCCATAGCCCTCAATAGAGCCCTCAGACTGATTTTCTCCTCCCCGTGCCTGAAAAGACATCACCAGAGACATTTCCCCTTGCAGCCTCTTTAATATTTACGCTGACTTTGTGAGTGGATAATATATTCCACTTTCTTTAGCCTGCTGAAAGCTGGCATTCCTCCTTGCAGTGCAGTTGGAGTTAGTGTTGTGTACAGGGCTGGAGCCATCCGGGGGATGCAGGTGATCCTGGACCACAGTTGCTGCCTGCATCCCATCCCATGAAACTGTCCTGTGACAGCTCTGACATGGTCCTGCCCAGTCCTCATCCCGTCTGCAGAGATGATCCCTGAAACTGTGCTCTGAGTTTCGCCACTCTGAGCTGCAGTGATGGCAGAGAAGTGCAGAGGGAACGATGCCACCGGTAAAATCATAACACAGAAGGAACTCTCCAGTCTTCGCCATTTTCATTTGGGCATAAACATCTTTCCTGGCCTGGTGAACACCCAAACTCCAGCCAGGAGCATCAGATGTGGGCTGCAGGGTGCCGTGCGTGTCCTATGCCTGGCTCCATGTAGCATGGAAAGCCTGCAGGCAAGGTGCAACATCCTGCCCCAACAAATGCCACCAGGCCAAGTGCTCACTGGGACAAAAACCCACCCTCACCTCCGGAGAGGACAGAACAGAGCCTCAAAGCAGCAGCTGTGGTTGCAGCTGTGGTCACAGGCATAGGGAAGAGCTCTCTGCTTCCTTGCAGAGGTGATGTGGGAGAGGACAGGTCCAGGCCAGGTGTTCCCACTGGGGACATGGATCAGGCCTGTGGTGGCCCTTAGGTGCCCAGTGTGTGATGGACACGATGAGGCACACAGCTGCGCAGGGGTCACATTTTTTCAGCCCCGTGTTGCCCCAGCAAACAAATGTCCCAGGATGCAGACAATAATGTTTTTATGAGCCTCTAAATTCTAGCCTCAAACGCTCTTTGTAGTGGACTAATAGCCAACACGTGGCCCTTCGTCTCATGCTGAACTTTTGTGGTCCTGCAGGGGAAGAAAAGGCCCTGGTGAGCATTTACACTGAGCACTTTGTTCTCACAGATTTGTAGAGCAGAGAGAATAATGTATTGAGACTCTCAGCCCGTGCCAGTTTGGCTTCATTTGTCCTTCTGAACTTGCCCTGAGAGATAATGTTTCCTTCTAATCTGCTGCCGTCCACCTACAGCAGGGACCCAGTGAATAATTCTTCCAAACAAGCCTTTATTCTTAAGCCTCTATCAGGCCCTAACCCTTTCTCCCCCTTACAGAGTAATTGTTGTGTTCATTACATGATAATGGCCTGAGCTGTATTCCAGCCCACACTTGCCATGGCCACACAAACAAGGTTCAGGCTGCTCTGCTCTCAGGATAATGCTGCTCATTTGGCATTATTTGAAGGAATGTGCCAGGCATCCAGCAGCAGGCATGCTGCCTTGTCCTGCGTCAGCGCCGCCGTCAGATGCAGCGCATTGCGCTCCCGCGAGAACCCAACACATCCTCCAAGAGCTGGGGCTTCATTTTGCTGCACGTGATAAGAAAAGGCTGTTGTACCTCTATGGGAAGGAGGCACAAGGAAGAGGAAACGAGGCTCGGAAGTCTCTGGTTCATGGAACAAATCTTTTCTGCTCAGGTACTTGCGTCGCCTTTTCACAATGATATTTTAATAAGCCTACAGAAGCCTCACAAATTGCCCTCTCCATCTGTAGGAGATGGGGAGCTCCTAGGGGATACACACAGTGTGTGCAGCAGCAGACCATCAGCCTGCTGCCCAGGAAGGCACTCTGCCACTGGTGCCCCTCTGAGCACATGTGGGTGTTAGGAGTGCAGGGATGGATGCTAGCTCTGTGCAGCTCTGGTCAATGCTTGCCAAGGGGAAGGGGAGGTCTTGTCCAGGCAATCCAAGACAAAAACCCCTGGGGTGCAGCTTCATGCACACACATTCATCAGAACATGCAGGTACGTGATATTTGCAGTCACGCTCAAGATTTCCTTCATTACAAAGCAATGGTGAAAAAAGCCCAGAAAGGCACTGGCAGAAGCTGGATGTCCTCAGCCCGTCCTGCAGCCCCTGCAAACCCCCTCCTCCCCAAAACACGGCCATTGCCCCATCCCCAGGGTGAGATCCTGCCACAGGCAAAGCCACCGCCCCGCGTGGGACAGCCTGTTCCCAGGGTGCTCCAAAAACCTGAGTGGAATCAGCAGTGTCCTTTGTACATCTCGGGGCTGGGCTGCTGCCAAATTCCTCTGCACCCACTGCTCCATTCCATGCGTCAATCATTTCTTGGCAACACGAGAAGAGTCGGGAGGCAGCTTCAGACAGTTCAGTTGCTTTCATTTAAAGGTGAAAAACACACAGTGCACAAGAAGGGGCTGCTCTGCCTGCACAGCAAGCAACGCTGCTGAACCTTCCAGTTACAAAAGGAAAAGCAGCAACAGGAGGCAGAGCTGGATGTTCTGGGAGCCCGCAGCATCCCAGTGCCGACTGGCAGTGCTGGCAGTGGAGCCCTTGGGAACAGAACAGGAAAGTCTGGGTGACTCAGAGTTCCCTGGCATGGGCACAGTGGTTCCAGGTGAGCACAGCCAGGGATGTGCTCCTGGGCAGGGACCTGAAGCAGTGGATTAAGGCTGGGAGTGCCCATGGAGCTGTGGGGCACGGCCACCAGCAACAGGTGCATAGGGAGCGAGAGCAGAAGCTGCAGATATCACTGCTCCGAAAAGGCAAGAGGAATGGGCATCAGAACAGAGGAACTTCAACGGCCCAGCTCTGCCTGCAGCCCTGCATGGCCAGTGCCCAGACCCCAGCACTGCAGGTGGGTTCAGCAAGTGAACAGCCCCAGGACATCGCGCTTTGCCCTGGGGTCAGGAGCACCAGTTGGGGTCAGCAAACTGCCCCACGGCTTTCCCAGGGCTGAATGCTCCCCATGGCTCTCTGCCTTATTCCTTCCCTTCGCCTCTTCCTCTTGCACAATCACTTTGATCTGCACTGCGGGGGACCACTGTGAAAAATTCACGTTCCATGGACGCTGAGCAGCAGCACTCCTGCAACCCCCAGGGACACTTTCGTGTGAGACAGAAGCACAGCTCCTCGCACATTGGATCAGGATGGGCTGGGAGTGGTGCCTGCGTGGTGCAGCTGATGGGGAAGCTGTGACCGTGTCCTACCCATCCCAAAGCAGCAGGCGGGAGCAGACTGGGAACCATCCCCTCTCTGTGCCGCCAGGCATTGGGAGGGAAGGGAAGGGATGCAGCCTGGGGCCGGCACAGCAGGAAGTCAGGCTTGCCGAGCTGGGTGTGGAGCATGTGGGGATGCTTGTCTAGGCTCCCGGAGCATTTTCCAAACACTTTAATTACAGTGATTTATAAGGCAAAAGTGTGGGGGCGAGAGCTTGGGAAAGGCATTAGCAGGTTTGTTCCGAGGCTCTAATCAGGGGAAGGTGATGTGGAGCGGTGGGGGGAGGCTGCAGAACCTCTCTGGATGCCAGGGGTGTGCTCACAGCATCCCTGAGACCTCAGTGCAGGATGTGCTCTGGTGGGGACCAGCAGCAGGAGCATCACCAGCACCCAGTGCCCATCCCCTGCACTGCAGAAGCCCCTTCTCTTGAGACTCCACCACATTACATGTGTACACTTCCACGTTCACACACAACCCCCCCCCATTCCTGCAGCTTTCTGACCTCAGAACCAACAGCTCCCAGAGCCACGCAGAGTGCTACGGGGCAGCAGCTCTTTATTTTAAACCTCCATCCCCCCAGCCTGGTTCGCTCCAAGCTCTGTCACTCCTCCAGCACCCCGATTACACCGGAGGAAGAAAAAGAAACATCAGGCTGCTGTCCTGGCTGGTGGCACAGCACATAGCCCAGCCCCAGGCCAACCATGGGGACGCAGAGTATTGGGCTGGCGGCTCTGACCCCGAGCTGCCACCGGACGTGGCCCCAGCGGGGTGGCCAGAGCCCATGTCACCCCTGCTGCATTCCTGCTCCTTGGCCTGCTTTGTGATAAATAACCTTTTCCTGTCCTTTTTGACACTGATGTTTATTGATGGTTGAGATCCCTCGCAGCACCGCACATCCCGCGGCCGTGGAGCCGGCTCTGCTCAGCCAGGCTGCCTGCAGCCCCTCTAAACACGTTGTGCCCAGATGTGTCGAGGTGGCCGTTGGCATCATCTCCCACTGAAACACACCACAAGGGACAGGGTAAAAAAAGAGAGTCCTTTAAATAAACCCATCCCTGCATCCCAAAGCAGAGCCATCTCTGCAGGCAGTGCTCAGCATCCCCAGCTGGGCAGAGAACTGCTGCTGTTGGGCAACATCCCAATGGCAAAGGGTCCATCCTCAGCCCCAGAACAGGGTTGCAAACGTCCTCAGGATGCCCCGTGGTCACAGCAGACAGCAGCTGTAGGCCAGGGCAGCTGGAGCACATCTGCACCAAACCCACACCGTGTTGGGTGCACACCGCCCTGCCCCACCCAGGCAGGATTTGCTGATTAAGGGATAAGTAATCACTCTCCAACCCAAAGCTCACGTTATCACTTAATTGAATGCAATTGATTGAGAAGCTAAAAGCAGCCCTGGCTTAAAGTGTTGCAGATGGTGCCTGGGAGTAGGGCAGCACGCTGAACCCTTAAAAGCATTGGCATCAAGGGCAGACGCAGACTTGCTCTCCTAAACTGTCATTATTATGGACGGGAACCAGCAGCAGCAGGGCAGCTCCAGGGGAACATTACTTATCGTGCCTGAAGCCTGCATAAACAACCTCTTATTCTTGCCCCTTCTGCCCCCGGTGGGCGGGTTGTGCTCCCACGGAGAGTTCAAGGGAAGGAAGTGTGCATCTGCAGGGCCATGTGGGGGCAGCCGGCTCTGAAGTGCTCTGAGCTCGAGCCCAGAGCGCGGGCATGGAGCCCGGCAGCCCCTGCTGCCCCAGCACCGGGGAGATGTGGGATCAGCCCCCATCACAGCCGGCCCCAGCGAGGGAAAGAACAGATGCTGGGCTCCTCAAAGCACGGGGAGTTGGGATGCAGGACTGGGGCATTTCTGCACTGCAAGCGGCGTCTCTGCTTGTGCAAATGAATGTGCATGCACTGAACCCGGTGACAGAACACCACAGGACATCTCACCTGATGTTGCTTTCACCACTGCTGCCCAGGCGTGCTCAGCTTTTGCTCACCTTGTGCTCATCTTTCCCCTTCGGTTGTGTTTTTCATGCAGTCGGTGTTAGCAGCTCTGCAGAAGGAGGTGCATACTTTATTAACTCAGCTACTTTCTTCCCTGCTAATTAAAATCAAACTACAGCTGATGCACGCTGCATACTTTGCAGCTATAAAGCAACCTGCTTTCCTGCTCTGCTCTGTGAAACCTCCATCAGAAGCAATTTCATCTGCCTGCTGAGCTGAGCACGGTACGGCCCTGTGGAAGTGGAGGCATCTGAGGATGCATCGGCCGAGAGCCCTCGGAACCCAAAGCTTCAGGCTCCAAGTCTGAGCCTGCTTGAGGTCAGGCAGTCTGAGAGGAAGAGCACCAGCACAGCATCCACACAGCTCATCGTGCTGCTCGCATGGCAAACGAGCCAAGGAACAGAGTGAGCCTCTCCATACAGAGCCTGGGGAGGGGGAGTGCCCTGGTAACCTCCAGTCCACATCCCCAGATGAAGCCATTGCATGGGGATTTTCTTCCTTAGGAAGGGATGGAGTTTCTGCAAATAGCTGAGACTTTCCCCTGTGGCCCTCGTGTTGGTGCTGGCAGACGCCATGTTGGAAGCAATACATCATCAATGGAAGGTACCTAATGATATATTGCCTTAATACATCACCATAGCAACAGGGCTCTAATAATGTATTATTCTAATGCGTTACCCAAGCACACGTTCCTCCTGATGATGTATGGCCGGGATCGCCGTGCTCCGCCAAGTCCAGATGCAGTGCAGCTCCCCTGGGTGCCATATGCTGTCCCATAGCAGTGCCACCATCACATGGATACACTGAGCTGGGGGTTCAGGAAGGGACACCTCTCACAGGAATGGGAGCTGCTGGGTGCTGGTGTCATCCTGCACAGTGAGGTACAGCAGCGTATCTGGAAATGACACAGAGCTTTCTCCCACCCCTGGACGGAGGTAGAGATGGGCAGTGCTCACCTTGACTGCCACTGATGCATCCCCAGAGTGACAGCACAGTGCTCACACAGCTGCCATGCGTTCCATCCCGGCACTTGGGGAGTTCAGTGGGGAGATGCTGGCAGCTGTGTGCTCCTCCAGCCCCATCCAAGGTAGCGTGGCCTTGGGCTCGCTCCTTCACAAGGAAAATGCCAGCTGGAATTCTCCTGCCACCCCTCACAGGGACAGCATTGTTCCCAATTCACACTATCTTTTTGACCATTCAAATGCCATTCATTCAGTCACCCCGATGCGTAGGACAGTTATCCGAAATGTTTTCCCAAACAGCGTAGTGACTATAGAGCAACAATTCATGGAATTGCTCAGGGACATCTGCACAGAGCTGGGCTGAATGCGCTCTGTGTGGAGCCTGGATTCCGCTGCCATGGCTGAATGAAGGGCAGGAGGAACTGCTTCAGCAGTGCCATTCCACACTGAGCTCCCAGCAGAACCATCTGACCAGCGCAGGGAAGGCTGCATCGTGCTCCCTCTGCTCTGCTTGCTGTGCAGGGACTGCAGGCAAAGCCCTTGCAGAAGCCCCTGGAGAGTGAAAGCTAATTAGCAGCTTAACGCTAATTACAGCTGCAGCTTATTTTGTCCTCGGTCATAAAAAGAGCAGCAGTGCTGCCTGCAGCCATTGGACTAAGGATGCTCTGGGGATCCAGACAGCCCTGTGTGGGGCTGCGTGTCCCCACGGATGGGGCAGCACTGCAGTGCCCCTTCCAGCCCTGCAGATGGGAAAACACGGCCTGAGAGCAGCGAGGAGACAACATGCTCCATGGTGCTGTCCCACACAGTGTGAGGCAGATGTGGGGTCAGTCCAAAGCCAAGCTAGGACACAGGGACAGCATTGGAATGGGCACTTTGGGCACTCAGATCTGGAGTGTCCTGAGCATCCCGCCCAGGAGCCATTTCACCCAGCACAGTCCAGCAGCATCCCTGTCACACCACCTGGCCAGCACAGGCCTTGGGGTGGCTCATGACCATTCCCTGCCACATTCCTGCTATTGGGGTGCAGAAGCCTTCCCCATGCTCCTGCACAGCGTCCAGCATTTCAGGGGGACAGCAGTGACAAATTGCAGTCTGCAGCACAGAAAAAGGGAAACAGAGGGACCAAAGGGGAAATGACTGTGTTATTGATAGACCTTCCAGCAGCTGATGGATGAGGACACCCAAATGACTGTTTAAGGTTTCAGGAGAAGCCTTCCAAGTGGCACAGCGAGGGGCAAAGCTGGGATTAACTGTAGCTCCTGAGGGAGTCCTGCAGAGATGTGCCCTCACTGTGCCGCACTGCAGGCAGGGGACATTCCCCTTGTCCTCATGGGGCCAGGAACAACAGTGACACACAGCTTGGTGGGACCTTCCCAAATCCCTGAGATTTTCACCACCTGAATCCTTTCTGAACAGTTTCCAGAGTCACCAGAATTAAAAGCAGAGAACATCACCTTCTAATCTGGGAAGCCAGGTTTACAGAGCATCAGCCAGCCCTGTTCTAAAGAAAGGGGAATACCCCCCAAGCACAGCAGGAGGGGCAGCAACAGCCCCACAGTGCCATATGTTGGGCACAGCCCTGAAAGGCAGCAGGCAGCTCCGTGCTGAGATCTGGCACAACTCCAGGCTGAGGTTCCAAGGGAAAATTTGTAGATCGAATGTTAATGAATATTATTGCTGTTATCTGGAAAGGCTGTGCTGACTTCACTCTGCTGCCAATTGCAAATAGTGATTATTTTCCCCCCCCCGCCCCTTGTAACTGATAGCAATTCCAGCACAGCTGATGATTCAGGAGAAGCAACCAAAGGTGGATGGGAACAGGCAACCCTCATCACACCCAGCTCTGACACTTCCAACAACACTCACTCTGAGATCTTCATTGCCTGGATCCCATCTGCCTTTCCTCTTGCAAACTCATCGTGCTCCATAACCACCCCTGGCCCCACTAAGGAGCATCAAAAGAATCTTAACTGCATAAATCACGCTGTAGGTCTGTGGAGAAAGAGGCAGGCAGGGACTGCCATGAATGCAGAACTGCCATGAAGCCATGCCCGGTGCATGGGATGGGGCTCTGCTGGTGGAGCCTCCTGGGGGAGCAGCAGGGAGGAAGGGTGCTGCAGCCACCCCAAAGGGACTCCCATCCTTCCCCCACTGCAGCATCCCAGCGTGATTTATGTGGCACTCGGGCAATTGATGTGCTTTGTGCCTGGGGACAGCTAAATGGTAGCTCTGTCATTAGTTTAAGCAGAGGTTAAAGGTGATCAATAACAAGGGTTTCATGCCCAATTGATCACCCCCTTGCTATTTATTTGTAGCTTTTGCTTACCATCCTGTGCTGCTTTTAGAAATAGTAATTAAAGACATAACAAGCGTTCTGCAAAGCGGAATATCAAGCACTGCTGCTATTGATCCCATTCTCTCCCTCTCACTGCTGTTGCCCTGTGTCTATCCCTGCATCAGCTGGGAGCTGCAGGCACTGGGATGGGCTGCACTCCCCCATGGAGCTGGTCCAGCCACCAGGTCCCTGCAGCACCCAGATGCAGCCCCACGCTGCACCCCAGCACCCAAATACAGCACCCAGAGGCAACCTGCAGAGGGATCTGCACATGGGATCTGCTATCTGCACTGGAAAGAAACAGCTCAAATTGTAACGCGGCACTGGATCAGCAAAAGCAATCTGGTGATGTTGGAAAGGGTTTTGGGTCATGTGCTTCTGGTGGGTTTCTGGGATGCAGCTGACAGATGTGGTGAGGCTGGGATGTGGGACAGGATTGCTGCTGGGCCCTGGGTGGAACAGAGCACAGTGCTATGCAGCCAGAGCAGCCCTATAACCTGAAGGAGCAATGGAGTGAGAACCAACGATGGGATGCTTCCAGAGCTGGGAAACTCATTTCTTCAGCTCACAAAGTTCTCACTGGAAAAAGTAAATTGCACGCTGCTACTGAGAGTCAATGAAGTCATGTTTGGAAAACAAAATGCTAAGAGTCCTTCTACCAGGAGCAAAGCCCCTTTGTGCTGCAACGGCCACGAATGAGAACACAGCTCTCCCACCTACCTCTGCTCCACACGGGGCAGAAGGGACCAAAGGGACCCAGCGCTGCGGCTGCCTGAAGTGGATGCAGGAGATGCTCCCTGGGAGGGCAGTGGGATTCGTCAGCTCAGCACTGTGCAGTCATTCCAGCTCTGCGATAATGTTTAAAGAAAGACAAAGCAGAAATCCCCCACCCCACAGGAATGCGAAGCCCCAGCAGTTTCCTCTGCTCTTCAGCCCTCCAGCAGTGAGGAGAGCCCACCTTTGTGACTTAACATTTGTGACACTGTAGAGATTAATATCACCAGAAAATAGCATTTCTTGTTATCTGCAAGGAAGCAAGCAGAAGAACCAGGAGTAAAGCCCTGCAGCTCCAGTGTGGACTAGAGGAAAATGTGCTGCTGTCACCACCGTACCACTGCTATTAGCATGGCAGTTCCCAGTCTGAAAAGCCATCACCTGCCCCTACCTCCGTTTGACTTAGAATTAACTGTGAAAACCTTCACCATTTTCAAACTAGACATATATGCAATTGAAGACAGCTGATGCAGTGGCCAGACTCTGTGAAACCGATGTGTTTGCAACAAATGTCTGAAGAACTCTGCTCTGATCTCCCGGAGTTTTGGCCAGATTTACAGCTCAGCATCACATGAAAGCTGAGAGGCACAACACGCAGAGCTACAGGTGAAGGAAAACCACTGGATGAATTTCCACAGAAAGAAATACGCAAAGAAATGAAGGAGGGAACGGGCTGCAAAGCTTCAGCCCCCAGCAGACCTCCCTGAGCACAGGGATGGAGCAGCCAGACTGGAAACACCGCAGAAAGATGCTGCTCCGTGTGAGCGCTGACTGCTGTCCTTTTTGGCCTTGTGAGGAATAAAAGCAAAGAGAGCTGGGGGTAAGAAATAGGCAGGTGATCAGGAAAGGGCTGATGTGCACCAAAAAGAGAAGCTACAAGGAAAATTAATAAAAGCACTGTGAAAGTTTGGCCCGGACAGCATTCCCCTGTACATCCAGGGCTTAACAACCTTCCCCTGCGCAGCCAGAAGTGACACTCAGCCCAACCAACAGCAGCAGCGAGGCACTGGGGTGGTGGGAGATACCAACAAGCTCTGTGCCACTGCATCTCCACCTGCCTTCGCAGCCCCCACCTCCCACTGCCAGGAGACATTTAGTCCTAATTAGAAGGAAGGGAAACTTACATGGGTGAGTTTACATGGACCCCAAAAGCAGATGCCCGCTGTAGGTGTGCATCAGTGCAGCGGGTGAGAGCTGCATGCAAGCAATGGGAGCGACGTCGAGCGCCCCGGCTCTGCAGAGCTCTGTGGGATTTGCATGAAGGACTTCACGAGCACTTAGACACACAGATAAAACAGGTGATGCTGAGCAGCTCCAGCCAAACAACAGCAGCACTGGCACTCAATTAAAACACATGCAAACAACGGCAGCGTTAGCATAGAATTAAAATATCTGCTCAACCGGACGGTGCTGAATATCCTCACAGAAGAGCAAAGCTGGGAACGGGCAAGGTGCTAACAGCAATGCTCCCAACTTCCATGAAATCAAGGAGTGTTTCTGCTGCTGTGTTTGGCAGCGAAGGGCTGCAGGCACAGCAGGTGCTGGGCAGGGATCAGGGTGAGCACAAGAACAGGCTCTGCTGGAAGGATGAAGGGACACAGCATCAGCAGCTCCGTGTAACCGCGCCTGGAGAGGCACACTGCTGCAGGACAAGCACACCCTGCTGCTCTTCCCAGTGGCTGCAGTCATGTTCTAAGGTAGGAAATCTCAAAATTGAGTTGGATATCACAGAATCACAGAATTGTAGGGGTTGGAAGGGATATTGGCACCACACAGCCTTATCCCAAGCACAGAGAAAGCCGAGCAGCACCTCTCCGCCTTCATCAACTAGAAGATAAAAATAATTTGGAAAAAAAAAAAAAACAAAAAAAAAAACCAAAAAAAACCCAACAAATGATGACTTGCTGAATATTGCTCACCTTACAGAAAGGAGCAATTTTCCTCCGATTGCCAACAGCCAGCATAAAACAGAAGAGCACATAGACAGTGCCCTGTTCTGCACACCAAGAGCTCCATGCCAGCGCTGGGCTCAGCTCAGCTCTGGGGTGCACAGAACTGCTCCCTTCCCATATCTGCACTCCATACACTGAGTGTTCTGCTGCATTTTTTGGCACTTCTATATCTGCTTCTCCTTCATGCACCAACACCATCCTGCGCCGAACTCTGATACAACCACAGCAGCTCCCACTTGAGGAAAATAAAAACCAAACAAATGGAAGAAGTCAAACAAAACAAGTAACCATGCCTGCAGTAATCGCCATTTAATCCCTGACCAAGAAGACAACAAAACCTCAGCCAGGCGACCCTGGGGGGGGGAGGCACTGCTTTGCAACACAGCTGCAGAAATCAGATGCACCGAGCAGGGTTTCTCTTTGCACAGGAGGGCTCACACAGCTCACACAGCAGCGCTGCCGGCGCCTGATCCGAGCTGACACCTCACAACCCAGGGCCGTGCGCCCTCCCAGAGCATCTCATCCATTACAGCAATGCAATGTGAGCGCTGCCCCTTCCTCCCCAGAGCCGGGGCTGTTTGCCAGCCGCGCTGCCTCGGAGGGCAGGAGATGCTGCAGTCGCTCCTGGTGTGGGAAAGCGGCGCAGTTAAAAGCGCTCAGCGCAAACAAGGAGTTGCTTTTTAAAGAAGTAAAAAAGGAAAAAAAAAAAATATCAAAACCAAAACCAAACCTCTGCTTTCGTCGGTTTGTTTCCCCTTTTGTTTCCTCCTCCCCGAGAGCCCTGAGGAAGGCAGCAGAGCTGCAGTGGAGCACAATGGTACGTGTGTGCGAGACGCACAAAAGAACGGAGAGGAGAGAGTGCGGAGTTGATAAATTTAAATTCCTCTAAGACACATTGATTCGAACTCCCAGTTCCAAGAATTTATCATTACACACCTCCACTTTTTTCTTTCAAGCATAAGCTCCAAACAGCCACGTATTTCCTCATTTCTAAAGTGCAGCGCGCATTCAGCAAATACAGAACAATTCAGTAAATACAGCAAAACTTCTGGAATCCAGGACTTGACCACCCCACCGTTCTGTGCTTTTAGATCAAGTCATGCCTGCAAGGCGCCTCAGCCCGTATCACACCTGAAAACACACAGCCCCACACCTGAGCCCCCTTAATGCTCTCCATTTGGGGGAAGCCAACACTGCCCCACACTGCAGCACTCCCAGCCCAGCAACACGCTGGGAGCCGTTCCAACGTGCAGCCAAACCACCTCACCAAGTGACTTTATTTTGAAGTCTCAGGAAACCACTTGCTGGAATTTGGGACGAGCAACGCCGTGATATTTTTCTATCTGCTAACATGGGGTGCCTACACGGCAGTGTTGGGAATGGGGTAATTTATAATGTGAATATTGCCAATATTGTGTTGTTGCTTTGGGAAGCACGCATATGCGCCCCAAAGGCGCAACAAAAAAAAAAAAAAAAAAAAATCAAGCTGCAATAAATGCAAGAGTTTTCACGTGCGAGTTCCCGAGCGTAAGTTACATTTAATATATAAAAATACATATATCTGAATTTACCTGCAGGCTACCCCCAGAATATCGCCTCTTTATCCCTAGAAAATCCCATCTGAAGGTCGTGGGATGGAATTGGTGCCTGGACTCCAGCAGGGCCACGCTAGGAGCTGAAACCACGGGAAGTTCTCTGCCAAATTAAAAGGAAATTGGATGCTTTACCCCCAGCTCTCAACCGCGCATCCGAGCAGTGGATCTGAGCAGCGCGGGCACACATGGCACAGTTCCCTCTGCATAAAACACCGCTGGACCCAAAGGACACGCAGTGGCGGCCGCAGACCCGGCGGTGCTGAAAGAGAAGAGCGACAGGAGATGGGGGTCGGTCCCTCTACACAGCACGGCAGAACTCAGTTCGCAGTTTTCCCTGCGGCAACCGCGACCCATCGGGGCACGAAGCCGTGAGAACTGGGGACACCGAGCGGAACACCTCGGAGCCAAAGAAAAAACCAAACCAAACTAAAAAAAAACCACAACAACGCGGCGTCTCGAGCTCTGCTCACGGACGTCTGTTATCCCTGCGAGAAGCGGAGAGAAGTTCTGTTCTCTAATCGCGCTGCAAAGCAGAAGTTCGGCGCAGCGTAACGAACTCGCGGCACAGCGGGACGCTCCTTCGGCGCTCCGGAGCGCGGGGTTGGACCGAAGGGCAGCGGGGAGCGCACCGAGGGTGGGATGCTGAGGGGGGGAGATGGGGGCCAGATGGACCCCAGCCCGAGGCTGCCCCGCTCCCGAAAGACGACACGAGACCGGTTCCTGGGTAAATGGTTTATGTAAGTAATAAAATATTTACTATAACATAAATAGAAACGTACCCTCGCAGTCTACATTGGTTTTGCAATAAAGATACAAACAAACAACAACAAAAAACAACAACAACAAAAAAAAAAACCAAACAAACAAAAACCGAAACCAAAGGGGAAAAGGGGGGGTGGAAGAGGAGGGGGAAATGAACCGAACCGAACCTACCAACGGGAGGGAGAGAGCTCCGCGCACGGTTAGAAAATAAATAGAAAGGGGCCGGGACGGGCAGCGCCGCGTCCTACGGCCGGGCCGGAGCCGGGGGCCCCGCGGGAGGGAATAAATTAGAGATCGCAAACCTTTGGCTACTTCTGCTGCGGCCGCGAGCGGCTCCGGCGCCCGAATAAATAGGGCTGGGGAGGGCGGCCGGGCCGGGCCAGTCCGAGGAAGGAAGGAAGGAAGGAACCGGGGCGCGTCCCGCCGCCCGCGCCCGCTCCGCCGCCGCCGTCGGGGCCCAGCGGCGGGGCCGGCGGTCACGGCACGGCGCCGGGCAGCGCGTGGTGCAGCGGCGAAGTGTCCGCCTGTGCGTAAACGTCCTCCATGGGCGGGTGCGGGAGCCCGGCCGGCGTCATGCGCTTCTCCTTCTGCCGCCGGTTGCAGAACCAGACCCGCACCACCTCCTTCTCCAGCTGCAGGGAGTCCGCCAGGGAGGTGATCTCGTGCGCCGAGGGCTTGGGGCACTTGAGGAAGTGGTTCTCCAGGGCGCCCTTGACGCCCACCTCGATGGAGGTGCGCTTCTTGCGCTTCCTGCCCTGCGCCGCGATCTTGTCCAGGTTGGTGGGGCTGCCCGTGCTGGAGTCCGTCTCCTCCAGCCACTTGTTGAGCAGAGGCTTCAGCTTGCACATGTTCTTGAAGCTCAGCTGCAGCGCCTCGAAGCGGCAGATGGTGGTCTGCGAGAAGACGTTCCCGTAGAGGGTACCGAGCGCCAGCCCCACGTCGGCCTGCGTGAAGCCCAGCTTGATCCGCCGCTGCTTGAACTGCTTGGCGAACTGCTCCAGGTCGTCGGAGCTCGGCGCGTCCTCGTCCGAAGGCTCGGGCGGCCCCAGCGGCGGCGGCGGGGAGGCCGCCAGCTCGTGGCCCGCCGCCTCCTCGGCGCCCAGCGGGTCGCGCAGCCCGTGCCCGTGGTGCAGCGCGGGGCCGGGGGGGCCCAGCATCCCATTGAGGCCGCCGTAGGGCTGCCCGTAAAGCAGCGGCTGCCCCGACGGCGGCGACATGGGGGGCAGGTGGGGGGGCGGCCCCGCGCCCTGCGCCCAGCCGCCGGCCTGGGGCACCAGGTGCGGCCGCGGGTGGAAGGCGGCGGCGGGGGGCAGCTCCTCGCGGGGCCCTCCCGGGCCGCCCTTGCCGTGCTCGGCCGCCGGCGGGAGGTGCGCGCCGCCTCCTCCTCCTCCGCCGCTGCCCCAGTCCGTACCGGCGCTGGGCAGCCACTGGTGGTGCGCCAACCCGACGGCGTGCCCGGCGGCGGCGGGGGCCAGGCCCTGCAGGTACTCGTGGTGCATCATCTTCTGCACCTCGCGGTACGTGGTGCCTTGATGCAGGCGGTCGCCGTCGGGGTGCAGCAGCGCGGCGGAGCGCGGCAGGTACTGCGCGGCGGCGGCCATGGCCGTCTGCGGGACGCGGCGCCGCGCCGCGCTTTAGAGCCCCGCGCCCGGGTGCCGCGCCGCC